TACCTTTATTCCTCCCTTTTTGGAATGAGAGTGTTTGCCCTGTTCCACTGTACCTTAGGATTATATAACTTTTTAAAACATAAATTCATGGATAAGAGTTTGTTTGAGCCTCAGAAGAGAATTGGACTTTTGAAAAATGTTGCAACTCTTGAAACTTTGGAAAAAGAACATTTCTAGTTGCATATAGCACATGTGCATTATGTTTGGCAGAATTATAAACTTGTTATTGTCTTTATTTGGAGATTAAGTATGGTTTAAGGAGATGTGTTTGGGTATGAAGTTGACAAGAATAGGGATGTGGTGGTCAGTGTACAGTGTCACCTTGATTTTCTTTAGGATCGACTGCAGGGATTGGTATGGCATACTTTTAGGTGTATCTGGGTGGTTCACGCAGGCATGGCCATGGAATCTATGTCTTGTTCCTTGACTTTTCCTCTCTAGCACTGTCCTCTTGCTCTGCTTTCTGGTCACTATGAACTAAGCAGCTTTGCCCCAACTTCTACCATGTTTTTTCTGCCTTGAAGCTTGAAGACCATGAACTGAATCCTCTGCAACTGTGAGCCAAATTAAACCTCTCCTACTTTAAATTATAGGTGTTGGTGTTGTGCCCAACAGTGAGAAAGCTGACTAATGCTTTGCTAGAAATTCTATATAATCATGCACACTGGAAGCACAAAATGGAGGCAGCTAACCCAATGAGGACAATAAAGGAAAGGCTAAAAAAGATTAAGCAAGAGACACACAACTAAACCGAAGATGAAAGTAATCTGAACAAGGAAACAGTAGATTCAAAAGCTGTAAGAAAGAACTTAATAAAACTCAGAAAGCTTCTTGAAATTCAATATGGTTGGAATGTGGTAGGGAAAGGAATGGCACAAGTCAGGCACAGAAGGCAAAGACTAGGACCTAAATAACCATTTGGCCACAGTAGAAGTTACATTTCATCCTCCAGATGCTAGGCATGGTAGGAAACCTAATGAGGAAATAGATATATTTTAAGATAATCATTTTGTGGCAGCATTATCTAGAATTGGAAGTTGAAGCTGAGGACAGATTGTAACTGAGTAAGTCTTCTAGAGGGGACTTAGCGACCAAATGACTTAATGACCAAATTTTTAAGGCACCTGTCATAGTAATTAATGTTAAAAATAGGATTAAGAGACACCAAGGAAATATAATAACTAACATTTAGTTTCGAAAGTTGCTGGGGAATAGTTTGAAGTTAAGCTTAAACTTGCAGGATTATAGGCTTGTGTATTATCAAAACTATTTTAAGGCTGAGAAACTCTTAAAAGATACACAGTTTTCACAGTTCAGCATCCAAAACATGGAAGAAATGTGAACACAGAAGAAAACAATATTCTGGAACTTTGGAAAAACCCTTTAAAGTGTTTAAAGTGTGAAGCACTTGACTCCTAATAGCAAGTTTATACAAGAAAAATCTTAACCACTGCATAAAAGTCACATTTTCGAATAAAAAAATATTATTCATTCAAATCTCAGGGGTTTTTTTCCTTTTGGAATAAGTAAAAGAAGCAGATTTTCAAATTTTGAGAACCATCATTTATGTTTCCTCTGATAATACACAAATATTAACAGAGATAGATTTTAAATAACTAGTTCTAATTAAAATAGAATCTTGACGTAGGTGCTAAAAACTTTCTTATGTTATTAAGTCCATTTAATTTGTCTTTTCTTTCCTCTGTTATACCTCCTTCCACCAAGCCTATAACAACATTTAACATTTCTATTCAGATACTACATAAACAATCATAGCTCTCTTGGGAATTAAAAATTATAATTAAAAGGCTTAAGATAAAGATCGTCTTAATGTAAGAACTCTAATCCTATAGTTCTAATAATCAATAAAGTCAGAAAAGACAAAATGTGAATATGTACAAAAAATGTGTTAGGAGTATGGTCTATTGTTAGTGGGGAAATGCTATTTTTATATCTCTGAAAGGTACAATATACTTGTCAAGACATTTAGAAGTAACCTGGCTATGTTAACCTCACCAATAAATCTGTTCACACTAAGTAATTATATAGTAGAAACTAAAAAGCAAGAAGACATTAAAGAATATAAAATATTATGTATGCATCAAGAACTTAATTTGGAATTCTTTGTGTTTTATAAAAAGTAGGAAGGTCAAAAGAAGGTGGGAGGTGTAAGAACTGAAAGAATTTCAAATGATGAAAGACATGAACTGCAATTATATTCAGATGCTCTATTTAGACAAACATCTTGAAGTGATCTTCCAGTGTTAAAAAAGGAAGTATTTGTTGACTACACTTTTTAATCTTTCCATTAATTAGTTATGCTTCAGAACTTATTCATTAAACTCCTTAGCACTTTTGACACACTGAAGAATTATGCACCTTCCAAGAGCTTGTATGGAGGCAAGGATCCAAAAGAATAAAACTGCACCTGTTTTGGGATTCAGAGACTCCAATTAATTTTAAAACAACCTCCCTTCTCTACCTTCAAATGAATAAGCCTGAGAGATAGCAAAGCCTGATAATAAGTAAAGGTAAGAAAACCTAATCAAGTAAAGGTAAGAAAACCTAATCAAGTTACGCATTAAGGTAGAACCTAAAAATAGACAGGTCACAGTGCATACCTTGATATTTTTGCAATGTTTCTTTAAGCTTGTAATTGTTTCAAAATCAAGGTACTCAAAATAAGAAGAGGGAGAAAAAAATGAGGACCAAGAAACGAAGGGGACAGTCCTTAAAATGTCAAATGTGAAACTATAAATTAGTATTTTTCTCTCTTTCTTAAACCATTGTTATGCAATCTGAATGTTTAAAAAAAATCCTAATTTAACTGCCTCTTGGCTGATCCAATAGGAAAAAAGAAGAAAATAAAGAAGATTGTCAGTGAGGTGCTCATATAATTTAACTCATTAAGCCTAGGTATGAAAAGTCTTGGAATCCTGAGATTTTTTTGAGGAAGGAGAACAAAAAGCACACACTCAAAGAAATAAAATGTGACAGATATATAATGAGACTGGTCTAATACCCAGGGCCTCTGTGTTCATTTTTACTGTATCATTGGGTAAAATCAGTTACCATTTTATTTTAAAATGAAAGGAAAATGCATTTTGTCTGTCTCGCTGAGCAAATGATTCCATTTTAGCAGACCCAGCCCAGAAGCACTATACTCAGTGCTTTCTCCAACCCTCTTTCAGAAAAGGAGTTACTAAAGTATAGCTGTAATGAAGAAAATAAGGCAAAACATGTGACAATGAGTCTCAACTGTGGTGATGTGTGGTGACAGCACTGGCTTTTGTGTAATATAGCGATGTCAGCTTTCCCACCAGTCCTCACTGACATGAACATTCAAGAGAATAAAATATGTCTTTTTGAGGCTGTGTCTTCTCCTCCTCTTTAAGTGAACAAGAAGGGTTGTAGCATGGGCATAGTTAATTTTGCCATCTAAGATCATTCTAGTGGCATGCACATTTATGAAGGATCATCTACATTTTGTTATACTCCAGAAAACAAAGCAGGACAAGTATTAGCTAGCACTAATCATACCCGGAGTACTGATTCTAAAACACTGTTTTCTTTCCTTTTGGTTTGTTTTTATTTTTCAGTGGTGTGTATAGAACCCAGAGCAAGTGCTCTACCACTGAGCTACAGCTCCAGGCCCCTGCCAACATATTTTTAAAAAATAATTTCTAGAAGGAATTTAACTGTAACTGTAATACTATCTATAAACAGTTAAGGAAAGGTTTACAAACAATGGTGTTCATTCATCTGCAACCCTGAACCATTTCCTATCACTCACAATTTTTACAGAAACAGTTTTCCTATGAAAGGTCATTTCTTCTCAATTCTGAGTTCTGTCCTCTTCAAGTACTTGTGCTTTTTGAAATCAGTTTTTCATTTTTTGTTGAATTTGAGATCAGTTTTGCTTTTGTAGTTTTTTAAAATCCATCAGTCAATCTTTTTCCTTATGAGAATAAGTGGCATTCTAGCTACGGTAGGTTGACCTCGGTAGCTAAGAATCCAATAGTTTAAAAGATGAAGCTCATTTTTCATGAGACACAAGCCATGAAAAATGTGATCAAAATCCAGTTGACATCTTGTAATTCTAACTTATTTTACCTGAGGAAAAAACAAGGAGTGATTCTCCTCTGACCTCATTATTGCTTCTTTTTATATCTATGTGTATTTCTTGAACCTGCTGCGATGTTTGTGCAGAAAATGATCTAGAAATTCACTTAGCAACGTTTTTACCAAGACATGTATCTTACAGTATTCCCAAATACATAAATTATTAAAATTTTGTCACATACATGCATTGTCACTACCTTTGTGCTATTGTTCTTAATACAATGGTCTACTGAGGCTCTGTGTTTTAGAATGAATTTATTGTTAGCCAAATAATTCTCCTCATTTATTGAGATGGATGGATGGAACCAGCTTTATAAAACTAAATCTACTTTACTTACATTGTACTTACTCCAAAATAATGGGTCAGGTCCATTAACCTCTTCAGTACCTTCCTCTCCTTACTTAGGTCCAGTGTAACAAGGCAGAGCAGGAACAAGATGATCTGTGCTCAAGCCCTAAGCCACTGACTTACTAGTTGGGCAAGTCACAGAGCTTTTCTGGGCTCTTCTCAAAAGGAAAAGGTTGAACTAGATGGCCATATGTGTCCTTAAGACTAACTACCTGGGTTACTAACTCAACAATCAATGGAAAGTCAACTTACATTTAAAAACACCCTAAACTAAAATCAACTTTCATTTAAAGGAGCTGTCCTGATATTGTCCAAGTTTAATCAAACCCTCACGTAGCCCATTAGGCTGTGACCAATACTAATGTCCCTTACTGAGACAGCATTACTAGTTTCCATTAAGATTCATCATCTTATTAGTGGCCCAATTTCCACAGTCACCAAACAAAGAAAATTTATGTTTAGAAACCTGAGAAGCAAAATCTCTAAAATTGTTATGTGTTTGTTACTATATTAGGAAAGTTCACAGTACCTAAAATAGCCACCACCTCATCATCTTGGATGACTTCCAAGGATCCTGACACCACAAAGCAGAGGGCATCCACACTTTCTCCAGCATGGTAGATGAGGTCCCCAGGAGCACAGTGAATGGTTTGGAACTCTACTGCCAAGGCGCGCAGACACCCATCACTGGCCAGTCGGAAAGCAGGATGTTCATTAAAAACCTTCCGGTTTAGATGAACACAGATATCCGCTCTCATGTCCTTGGGACAGATGGAGAGAACCTAAAGAAAGTGAGAAATGGGTAAGTGATAAATGAGAAGGGAAAAGAATGGGGCCATTTCAGAAAAAAGAAATCCAACAAACACTGGCTATGACCATGCTTGCTTCCCACTGTACTGGTACCAGGGAGCCAATGTTAACAGGACACAGTTCTGCTGTAAAGCAGCTAATAATCTACTGAGATAGGAGCCATTGTTCATAGGAACCATTATCATACAGCATCATGTAGTAAATGCTTTGAGTGGAAAATATATCTCCCCACAGCAAGCATACAGTCTTCAGGTGGTCAAGCAGAGTCTCAGAAAGAAAGTTAATATCATTTCTGGGGTCAACTAATACAGAGCATTAGCATTCATTTTTGTTTAACTGATGTTTCAGCATTGTTTCCTAACTAAATCAAAATTTAGGATTATGGACTTCTGTCCACATTGGAGGTACATTCCCATTAACAATTACAGGAAAACACCAAGAAAAGCACCCAGGAACTCTATATTATGGATGAAAACTACGCTCTTAGTGCATTTTGTTTTGTCTGAAATAGTTTTCTTTTCCAAAAAAATTTGTGTTTGGAAAAGGAAAAAGGCTTTCCCCAGCTCTCTGGAAGGGTTATGGAATAGGTAACTGGAAATATCAGTGCCAGCAGGGTGGACATACCATTTTGGACCAAAGCCCTTGTTCCTTCTAGTCTTTGACCCCTCAAGATTGCTGAAAGGGAGCAGCAGAATTTAAACTCAAGGTATCATTAGGAGAGGACTGAATGGCAGAGCCAAGCTAGGAAGCAAGGTGTAGAGAGTTTTCGCTGGCTGCAGTTTTCTGACAGGGCATTTAAATACCCATATTAAAATAGACATTGTCATCATTGAACCAGAACATCTTTGAAGAAATATGATTACAGAACTCAGTACTACCCACTTTGGTGATACACTTGCAAATTCACTTAGAATCTTTCCATGACCCAGTTTGTGAACTGTTTTTATGTTTTGCTTTCATAGGATTTTAATCTTTCAAAGTTGAAAATAAGTTGATTTTCCCCAATACATTATACTGCAAAATACTTTAATATAAAAGAGTTCTTAAACTGTGCTAATTTCATTTAATCTTTTTAAAAAAATACCTAATGTTTGAAATATCCCCGATTACTCCTTTTCGGAGGCTACCAATGAAACACTGGTTGTTTTGCTATGGAGAAGATGACACTATCATAACTACAACTGAATTATACTTTCAGAGTCACTTATCTTAACCTTTCCTAATATTGTACATATTAGTTTATATTACAATGATTCCTGATTTTTTTCAAAACTTCTCAAATTCCTACAAGCAGCAGCAATCAGCTCACCTTTCTGAAAAATCTCATCTATTAGGAAAATAATACCTTACCAGAGCTTCAACAGCAATTGAAACTTTTTCCCTGTGTCATTTAGTTTTCAAAATAATGTAATGTTTTCTTTAATATATTAACCTTTAATGAATTCAGACAATAGTATTCATTCAACAGCCCCTTACAGAGCTTCTACTATGGTCTTACTGTTGCATTAAATTCCTGGAAGTAGAAAGACAAATAAGACAATCACCTTTGCCTAGAGGAGCCAACCATGAGTACAGGAATTAGAAAAACACTAGGACAATTACAATACAGTGGGAAAAGGGGGCACTGGACCACATGCTGCCTGTGACTCTTTAATAATGACTTAGACCATAAAATCATGAGATCAATCTGTAAGGAACAAATCTGTGTTTGTATCTATCACTTCCTACTTCTATAGCCTGAGGCATGTTATTTAATCTTTCATCTGTGAATGAGGATAATAATAGTCCTATTAGAAGCTCACTGACAAAATTAAGTGAATGAGCATGAGTTTAGCCCAGTTTAGCTACACATAGCCAGGACTGAAGAAATGCAATATTCTAAATATGTGTATTCCTACACTTTACTGTTGCTTTAGTTTTATACAAAAAGCATTTTGTTCACTTTCCATTCTTGCCTAAAGACTGCATTTGAGCTGTTTGATAAGTTTCTGCACAAAATTTTAAAAATATGTTCACATGAATCTAAAGATATTCCAAGCACTTGTTAATATGAATGTTTTTACAAATTTAAAATAAAATTAGAGCTAGGGAGGAAAAAATTTACAAATACATACATAGATAAACATTACCCTAAATGGCTTAATGAGAAAAGAGATTGCTTTGATTCTATTTATTTGCCATATAGGACTTTCATCACTGTAGATTCATTTTGGCAATCGTCATTTTCTGTTCTTTTAATTCTTTCTTTCATGATTCAGATTGCACATGAACTGTTCCAACATTTACAATACTCCATTTAGTGGTATATCATAAGATTTTTATTGTATTTCAATGCATCTTTTCTTTTTTGTTTCACTCCACTTGTGACACTGGTTCATTTAAACATTTTGATTGATGGTACAGATATATGTACAGATAGATATACAGGTGCCACAAAGTGACAAATTGAAACTAAGTTAAAATAGACCCAGTAGAGTCACACACACTGGCAAGCTCCTTCTATCCCTAGACAGAGCATGTGTCTGACATGCTGTGCTTGTCACCAAACTACCAGCATATGGTTATTTATCCTGTACATGAAGGCATTAGTAACTTTCTTAGGCAAGGCAAAATTTAGATTTAAGTGGGCTGGGGATTTAGCACAGTGGTTCCTCCACCTGCCTCGCAAGCACAAGGTCCCGAGTTCAATCCCCAGTACCAAAAAAATTAGATTTAAGTGATAGAGTAAAATTATCATGCAATATAAACCTCATAGCCCGTTGGTCCCAGTTTCAAAATACTCTGCCTTGACTGTCATATCCAATTTCTTCTGACTAGCTGGCCTCTCTAATGGGTCTTTCATAGTTATCAACAAATAAAATTATCTGATAGCAGAAGAAAATTTTATGGTTAAAGTTGATTTCTGTTTATCTCCAGAGTTGATTATTCCTCCCTTTTTAAACATGAAGATATTAACAAAGTAGATTCTTAATTAAAAGCAAGCTATAAATTTTGCCTTTGAAAGAGTTATGGAACTATATTAAGGAACTCTAAAAAATAAGTGTCATGCTATGAAAATAAAAATATTTTATGTTATTTGTGATATCCATGAAAATCAAGATCTAGTGGCATCACAGATATTCCTTGGTCTCTGAAAGTCTAATCTCAACAGTGTGAGTAGAGAACTCTTAGTAATAATAAATATGATCATGTTATCTCTGCTTTCTCAAAACATCTGATAGCTTGCTTCCCCAACAATAAAGCCAAAGTTCTCACCAAACACATGCAGATCTGTTCAATAAGAACCTCCTGAGCCTCACTGCTTTCCCAGGACACTACATTCCAGCCACACACATCTCACCTGTCTGAATTTGCCAAGCCCTCTAGCAACTCCTTCCACATGCTACCCTCTGAGTGCCAGGCCCTGTTGTCCTTTTCTCTCCCAGTCATCTCTGATCCACCTGTCAAAGCACAGTCCACCCCTCTTGCTGCAATGAACAGGATTTCCACATATCTGTATCAGAGACTTTAGAAATGCATAGAAATCAAACACTATTGTGACTCATTATTCTTACTACTTTAAAATAGACAAAGATAGCAAGATAAATGACTGCCAGAAATTTCAAATTTTACTTTCATCTGTAAAATAATTCTTCAGTGTTTTAATGAAAACTTATCTTATGCTCAATATGTAAAGCAGACACAAGCCAAATCATGCTACAAGAAACTCTACTGGGCAAGTGACATTTGCACATAAAACATTTTACAAATCCTTCTCAGAATAAGGAACTCTAAGACCGCAAAACAATGAAATACATTTCTTCACAGAAATTTCATTCTAATTCATTTTATGGGAAGAAAAGAAAGCCCACTTTTGTTTATAGAGAAAAGAAAGAAAACCCCAGGATAATCAGGTCATGCAGGAAAAGACGAGGGAGATTCTGTCTGGATGTTAATCTGTCAATCTCTAGGTATATCAAACCTCAGAGGAATTAGAATGATGTCATGTAATGAAATAAAACCAAAGCAAATTAACTTCTATTATTTAAAAGTACAAGGTCATATTTAGCAACTGAAGACTGTTATAACCAGTGAAAATTTATAGGCTAAAATTCACTGGTTTCACTTCAGAGATTAATTCTTGGGAACCAGATCCATGTAATAAAATAAGAACTAAGATTTTGTTTTAAAAATATAGAAAACCTAATCTATCAGGTTTTGGAAGATCTTAGTTTTGCAGTAAAATAAGCAGTAAAAAGAAACAAATAGTAATTGTTATTACTATTTTTTAACTTATTAAATCGCAAATGTTTTGGGTCATTAACCCTCCAAAATTAGGCCTCTGATGAAATTCAAAATCTCAGTTGTTCTCTGCTTTTATGTCAAGTCTGTGATTATTTTATATATGGCTAAGAGTATTTTTCCTCACATTTTGAAAATATCTTCTAAAATTAGACAAGTAACTAAGACCAAACAATTCCACTTCTAGGGATATGTGCAACAGAAGCATCTGTATATATGTGTCAAACCACACAGACTAGTGTAGCAACACAGTTCACAGTAGCCTCCCACTAAAAATTATGAGAAGTTCCATAAGCATTTAAATAGATAAATGCATTGTGGCATGTTCACACATAGACTGCTATTCAATAACGACAATGAAAGAAGTAACAACTAATGTTTTGATTTAGATCTAAAATGACCCACAAAGTTCTCATGTGTGTGGAAGATGATTCCATCATTACCACACTGTACTCCTCAGTAGATCAATCCATTGATGAGTTCATTGCTGAATGTGCTGTTAGGAGCTAGAACCTGGTCGGAGATGGGTCCCTGGAGTGTGATCTGAAAGGGTGTGTTTTTTTCTCTAGCTCCTTCTTTTTTCTCTCTGCTTCTGGCTACCATGCTCCTTTGCTATCCTGTTTCTACATTGAAGTCAGCTGACCATAGACTGAAACTGTGAGCCAAAATAAACCTCCTCCTTCAAGTAGTG